CTCTTCTCCTTATTTAAAGTGGACTTGGATAAGTATGTGGAAACTATCCAAAGTTCTGTTAATTTGAAAGCTATGAAAACAGTATCTTTATATTCCTCCTTTTTGCCTTCTTAAGATGTAATTCTATTACCTTGTTTTTTTGTGGTTGTTACCCTGGCAACAAATCTGTGTGTATTCTGTTGTTTTTCTGTTTTTGTCTTTATGATTTTGATCATTGTACTGCCTTAATGTTTGTTTTGTTTAATAAAAAAAACAAAAAAACAAAGGCTAGTTAGATGACGCTGTGACAGAGTGTGGAATCATGGGAGTTGTCGTCTTCATACAAAGTTTTTGTTATTAATCTGTTTATTTTGTTAATTAAGTTTCACATTCATAAGTGTACATTTTCAAACAAAAAACCCTGTTTTACAGTGTTTTTTTAAAGAGTTGGAAAATTACTTGTGTACTATTCAACATAGTACTAATAGAAAGGCAATAAAAACTGTCAGTTTGTGTTCTGTCTTCAAAATATTTGAGTAATGTAAAGGTCATGCATGTCTCTGATTATGTGTGTATATATGTATATGGATGTGTATGTATATATATATTTTTTTTCCCTTTTCTTTTATCCTTTGTTACCCATGCTTTGTATTGTTTTGTATATGTTGTTTAAAGCATAATAAAAATAAATAAATAAATAAAAAGTTGTCGTCTTCATCCCCACAGCCGATGCAATCCGACGGGACTCGGGCAGAAATCATGTTCATGGATGAGCTAATGATTTATTAATGTAGTAGATCGAAGCAGGGTGAGGCTGAAAGCTGTCGAAGCGAAACGAGGCCGCTGAACCAGCGCGACACTAGGGCTGGGAATCGATTCCGAGGCGTTGAATTGAGAGTCGATTCCATCAAGAGGAATCGACTCCTCATTCAGAGCCTTTGTCAGTTCAACAAAGCTTATCAATGGGTGCCTCTCAAACGGAAGGCTGCACACATTTAAATTCATGAAAATAAACTGAAAGAAAACGAGTCCGTACTGAGATCATCTGAATTTTAAGATGCAGCCTTCCGTTTGAGAAGCACCATTCGCCTCCCTCATGCTCGCTAAAATTGATTAGAATTCGGATTCGTTTCCTGAATCAGATAGTTTTAATGAACCAGTTCAAAAAACGATGAGGTTATTTTACGGTGGAACTGGCTTGTCCACAATTTTGAACGCCTCACGACAGAATAGATCATGACATGATCGAGGGTCTTTATCTTATTTCCATCTAAAATACTATTTTTTTTAAACATTTCTATAATTATTATTATTAAATTTTGTATTTAACATGGACATCACAGTTACATTGGACAAACCACATGCACTTGCTTAAGTGTTTTAGCACACGTGCAAATTTTCAACACCAGTCCACGGGAGGCTTTTCAGAAAGCAAAAGCAAAAGCAAAAAAAGAAGTAAATTAATCAAATAAAACCAATAACAATACTAATAACAACAATGTTAACAACAAAAGTAATAATAACAATACTAATAAAAAACTAAAAAGGGGGAAAAAATATATGTACCATAAAATTACAAAAAAGAAGGAACAATACATTCAAAATTATTTACATAAGCTATAAAGCAAAAACAACATAATCAGACAATATCGCACTAATAATTTGGTATGAAGAACTATTCATGTGAGCACTGTTGTTTGGTTTTTAACCATTGTTTAAGTCCTCTGTTAAAAGCATTACCATTGGTCTCTAGTTTTAAATTAGTAGGTAAAGCATTCCAGAGTTTTGGCCCCTTTGCAGAGAAAGCAGATTGGCCAAAAGAGGTTTTATACATTGGAACAAGACAGTCACCACTAATAGTGGCTCGTGTGTTTGCCCTATGAGAGTTCTGACACCTACTGACCAATTCAGAAAACAGTGGTGAAACATGATTCTTTAGACATTCCATGACTTCACGTAATAACGTTGAAAAGGTCACGCTTGACGTAGGCAGAAGTACCGACTCACTCAGTGTTTACAAATGTGGAGAAGGAGGACCGTTCAAAAGTTGTGGTATGTTCAATGACACATATTCAAATGGCTTTGTGTTCGTTTAAAATGGTCACTTCGTGTGCGTATCCTGGATGTTTAAATCTTTCGAAACCTAACTTCCGCCTACGTCAAGCGTGACTTTTTCAACGTAATTACGTGAAGTCATGGATTTTTACGTATTACGTGAAATCATGCATTTTTGTTTATAAAGCATATACTTTTTTTTTTTTAAGAAGATGACCGATCGTTTCGCTAGATAAGACCCTTATTCCTCGTCTGGTATCGTGTAGAGCCCTTTGAAGCTGCACTGAAACTGAAATTTTGACCTTCAACCGTTTGGTAGCCATTTGAAGTCCACTATAAGGAGAATAATCCTGGAATGTTTTCATCAAAAACCTTAATTTCTTTTCGACTGAAGAAAGAAAGACGTAAACATCTTGGGTGAGATGGGGGTCAATTTTACATTTTTAATTTGAAAGTGAACTAATCCTTCAAGTAAACTGATTATTTCAAAAGAAGTGCATGGCTGTACTTAATAGTTGCAGACTAAGGTCCCTCATTTTAACAGTGTAACATACAGCGTTTATTGGAACCAAGTACATACACCCCAGCGCTTTGTAATGTTATATGTCTCCTTTATGGCATATTGCATCATTATAAATCCTTTGTGCACCTTTGTGCCTGTTAATTTAAGGGAAAAAAAGAATGCAGTAAGACACTATCACTCTTTAGCTGGACAGATCTCCACACTACTGTTGGTGACCCGTATCCCATACCAGCCTGCCCAAAACTGTGTATCCACCCCTCCATGGGTGAAATGGATAAACCGAACCCCAGGTCCATAATCCTTAAAGACATGTATCATCTGAAATAAAGCAGAACAAATACAGAGACAATGGCGCCTAGACTGTTAGTTTGATTATAGGGGAATAACTTAACTGGACTGTTAGCATTATTCTACTCACTTGACACCACGGCTCATCATTCCACTGTTGAAAAAAAACTTTCTGAGGCTGAAAAGTACAGATGGGGTTTTTCCTCCGATCAAGCAACTCCACACTGATCTCATACTGACAACCACAATCAAAGCGTGGGGCATACCTGCAGATAACACATCCCATAAATATGCTTTCATAATAGAACCTGATTTTTAAGTAACCCTGTGTGACCAGTGGGGGCGGTGAGTGGTGCAGGTGTCGCTCATTATCAATTACTCCACCGGCCTCGCTCCGGTCCCACGGCTCTCGGCCCCGCCCCCACTCGTCAGACCCTGGTACTGCATTTAATGGGGACAGTTCTCCCAAAAATGATCATTCTGTCATCATTACTGTGGAACACAAAAGAAGACTTTCTGAAAGTCAACGGGGTTCAAAAAACACTGGAGCACATTGACTTTAAAAAAAAACTAAATTTCCTTTATATTCCAAAAAAGAGCGTTTTTTTCACATAAAGTTACAATTTATACAGATTCTTGCAATAATAATAATAAAACAACTATGACAATAACATAAATATTTAAATCTTAATATGATGACCCAGATGGACTGGTCATTCACAGAAAATGTATCAAATTCAGCACAAAAATAAATAAATAATGAAATTCACCACCTAAGATAGAGGAGCAATTTGAGCAAACACTCACCAGTCTGATATTTTGATATGAGGTTGTAGTTGATCCATGAAAGCATCACTGTAGCCTTCTTTCTTCAAATCTATCAGCTGTTGCTTCATACATAACCTGAGGACAAAGTTTATCTGTGAGTTATGTGTGGATTGGCTTGCTGATTGATTTATAATCATATATTGACAAATAAATAAGCTCAAAACTTTGTTACAAGATCTAAATGATCAAATGTACCCATAAGAAGTTACAAAACATTTTGTGACCGTCTCATCCGGAAATGGTTTCCTATTTTCCTCTGCCACCCAGCGGTGACCTCCATTCTGTACAATCGTCCATCCTTGAAGTTTATCTAATAAGAACATCAGAGAAGCAAAAACTCACACAATGACACTTGTTCAAACGTATCTATACTCCTCAGGGTTATTATTAACTAAAACTAAAACTAAAATTTAAACCATTAAAAAAAATATCACTTGAAATATAATAAACGTTAACTGAAATAAAATATAAATTAAAAACAAATTTTATTTCAGCTACTTGCCAAGGCAACATTTCTCATTTTCCTTTAGTACTAAAATAACAAACTAAAAAGGAAATAACAATTAATAACTAAAAATAAAAATTATTTTTTATAGTATATCAGTGATACTGATGTGAATCACCTTCTGCCCTGGGATTCTTGAGCAAGTTACGTCGTTTCTTAGTTAAGAAGTAAAACTGGCACCAGTTGTCTGGTGGTCTGGAAACATCTTGTGGCTGGATCCCCTCTCTCCGACAGCGCTCTCTCCAGTGTGCAGCACTGTCCACCAGCTCCTTCCACTCATGACACACCAGACGACAGACTCGCACCACCTGATGAGCAGGCAGATTCAGTAGGATCTCCTCAACAACCACAGCTAGAGGAACAGCTGAACGCAGACCTGAGCACTGACAGAGAAAGAAAGATTCAGTTCTAATCTTGTTGGAAAATCCAGCTCTGGAACATGGTTGCTGGTTTTTAGCTGGATATCAACTATAATCTTCCAAAACCCAGTTTGGCCACTTTAAGCTGGCAACTGGTTTATTGCCAGTCTACCAGCTTGAACCTCCTAGAATCCAGTTACCATGTTCTGCTGGGGGAGGCAACAAACAAACAAAAACAGCTGGTTTTAGCTGGTTTAAGGTGGACTCCCAGCCTGACCATCTAAAGAAGTGGTCAAAACCACTCTAAAAACAGCCTGCAAACCAGCTATGGCCAGGCTAGAAGAGCAGCTAGAGCAAACCAAATACCAGTTTTTTTTCACATCTATCATCTTAAGATGGATATTCCAGCAGAAAAGAAAGTTTATTTCTGCATTTGGGCCTATGTCTGGACCAGTTTAATGTGTTCATTCTCTCAAATCAACACTAAGCAACTTACTGAGTCTAATCTGGGTTTCCTTCAAGCAACATTAATGTTCCCGCTCTCTCCTGACCTATTCTTGTTTTTTGATATGGCATTTGTCTTTTATAATAATAAGACACTTGTGCGAGTCTAGACCATGGTCTGGACATACGGGTGTGCAAACCCGGAAGTTACATCCCTCAGTCTGTCGAAGCTACACTTATCCAACATTAGTTACAGTCTCAGTCAGACTCAGTCATAGTTCTTTTAAACAGCGATAACGACACTTATTGTGGCAGCACACTAATCTGCTTCTGGAAAACGTGAATATGTCTGGCAGTGAAGCGTCTTGAAGGTTCACTTCAAGCCGATCCGTTATATATGTTCTTCTTTCCGATTTAGATATCGTATTAAGCCACACTTACCATGATTCTGGTCAGAATGCAAATATATTCCTTAGGATTTACATGTATACCGAGACCCAAAGCGAAAGTACTGATGTGCGTTTTAGCGTTTTGAACGAATCTTTAATGTGACTCGGGAAGAACGAGTCGTCTCGGGGAGTGATTCGTTCAGTCGCGCATGCGCAACATCATATAGGTTCTGTACTGGAATTATTCAAGTAGTTCACCTGTTTCGAGTCTTCGGGTTTTTCCGAGTCATTCGTTCATCACGTGACAGCCCCATACTCTTTAACCTATGCAGTCTGAGCCGAAAAGAGAATTGATTAGTTCTTCTTTTTTTTTGAAGATATAACATTCACAGGGGATACAGTCATAGCAATAAAATACACACACCCAGAATACAAAACAATAAATACATAAAGAATAATAAAAAGGAAATATAAACAGAACAAAAACAAACAAATAAAAAGTTAAACATCTTTTTTTTAAATAAATAAATCATAAATAAATTAAAATAAAAAATAACTTAAATGGAATATTACACATAAAATGTCAACTTCAAAGAATACACAGGAGGTAACCCTTACATCAAAGTCAAT